AAAGTATAATCAAACAACTAAGTTTTATTCAGAAACAGACTCGATCAGTGTTTCTAACTCAGTTAGCTTCTAACTCAGTCAGATTTGACTCAATCAGTAACTATCAAAGAACCCTTCAGAAAGTTAAAGTTAACACTTATTTTGAAATTATAAAAAAAGTGTAACCCATTGACTCCCACATTTTATCGACACACAGAATGAACAAGGATCAAAATGAAACAAATGTTGAAAAGTTAAAAGTTATATACACAAAACTTAATAAATTGATGAGTAAATTAAGCGATTCGTCCCTCGTTAAAATGCCAAATTACACGTTTAGTCTCTATTTTTAAAAATTAACTCGGATCGTTCTTTGTATCGTTAAAAATTACACGCTTGATCCCTTAAATCATTTAGCAGACATAAAATGTCTATCTTACCCTTATTCTTTTATTTTTTATTTAGTTTTAGATTGTTATTATTTATAACTAGTTTATAACCCGTGGAAACCACAGTTACAAAATTAATTAAATTTTTATAGTAAAAACTCAAAATTATTAATTAATTATTTTAAAAAATTATTAATTAATAGTTTTATTTAGTTATATAAATTTTAATCATTGATTTAAACAAATATGTAAAATTATATCATTTGTATTATTTTTATTTTAATTTTTATTCTAATGTTATTAATTTAATGTAATTAAAGTGGAAATTTTAAAATTAAAATTTGAAATGGAGTTGACAAGTGGCATACATTAATTAGGAGACATAATAAGGTGACACATAACAAAAGGAGATATAAAATATACATTAATTAGGAGGCCTAATAAGATGACAGATATCAAAAAAAAAAAAAAAACTATTTTTTTATTAGAATAGGGATTATAATTTTAAAACATCATTAAATAAGTGGGCCCCACCCTCATCTTCTTCTTCCTCTTTTCTTTCAAGAATCACCGTAATATTCTCACTTTGATGCTCCTCTTCACCATCTCTGGTGAGATCGCCGCCAGTACTCCACCACCCCCAATGCATTGCCGATACTTGGAACCCACTACACCCAGCTCCATCTTCTTCTTTCTTATCTACATTCGACAACAACACAAAACCCTAGCCAGCCAACGCCGTCATCGACCTTCCTCTCCGTCATCCTTCACCTCTATTGTGACATCCCCAAAATCTCGGTCAGAAAAGACCGATTTTCATTTATGCTTTTAAAATAATTTCAGAGTAAATCCTTTTGATTTGAAAGAGTTGCGGAATTTGTTCCCAAAAACAAAACATGATAAAACAATGTTTACCAAAGCATTTCATAAAAGAAATGTATTTTCATTATATAATCAAAACTCGGGGTGTTATGTTCCGATACATACCAATAAGCATAAACGATAACATTACAAGTAATTTAACAAATATATACATATACAGACATGTAAACAAAACAACTTGATGGTTCATCCATCTTACGCCCTCGCGCCACTTCCTGTAATACAAATAAAACTGAGTGGGTCAGGCTTGGGAGCTTGGTGAGCATATAGGGTTTTCAACCCACAATAAATAATTATATTTAGTTTCTACCAACCAACAATAATCCAATTACCATTCCCGTTATTCTCACTTTACGTCCCTAAAAACTAACACAAGGGACCTAGTCTAAGAATATTTCATCGGGGCGACAACACATGCTTCGGGGGTTCCTCAGCAATATAAGTCAAATAAGGCAACCATGAGGGGGATGGAATACAGCGAATGAACACCCAAGTTCATTAACACCTACAGGTTATGAGCCTGCTAGCGTTCCACGGACTGTCTAGAAAAGTCCGTGGTCGTCATCTAAATTCCGCTAGATGACTGGATCAAAACAACATCGAGGCCTCTCATCTGTTTATTACACACCAACTATCTACCCATGTTCTACCCAACATATTAGTAGATAAATACATTTTTATACATAGTTTCAAAACCTGTATAGCATGCTCAATCAATACATTTTCCACATAAACAGATGAGGCACACACACATAACACGTATTTCATAGAGAAATAATCAGATCTAAAAGATAGAAGAAAGTGAATATACATTCACACACATAACAACAAAGTATACACATAACACGTATTTCATATAAAATACTTCATAATTATCCGTTAGAAGAAAGTAACTACACACTCACACATATAAACAACAATATACTTAATACACTCAAACCATACTTGTATTATTATCGTGTTTATGAAAGGTAGTATACACTCACTTGATCAGAAGATGATCGGACAGCACGACGACTTGCAAAAGTAGTATTCTTAAGCAGATCTGGAAGATCTCTACAAAAATCGAACTTCTCGCGGGCAGAGCTTCGGCTCGGGAACCGCACTTCTCGGGATCTTTAGGATCTCGGGACTTGCTTCGAGACTCGGGAATATTAGCGGGGCTTCGGGGTACTTCTGGCACGCAAATCGATGCAAAACGGGAGAGAGAAGGGAGAAAAATAGCAAAAGAGCCGACTGCCCTCGCATCCTATTTATAGGGGGCTGAGACCTCGTAGTACGCGGGGCGTACGCCTTGGTTCGTAAGCGCATGCGTCATCCAAAGAACTCGAGTGCGAGTGTCGACATACCTTGGGTACGCGGGGCGTACTTCGGATGAGTCCGGTGACTCCTCTTCGGATAATGCCGGATTTAATAATTAAATTTAATTATTAATTATTTAATAAACTTCGAAAATTCATATCTTCTTCATACGAACTCCGTTTTCGACGTTCTTTATATCCACGCGAAGGTGAGACTACGCTCTACAACTTTCGTTTAGACTCCGTCGGCTAATTTTGACTTTATTTTTATTATTTATTTTTAATAGGCCGGGACAGAAAATTTCGTTATAAATTCATAACTTCTTCGTTTGACGTCCGTTCTCGCCTAACTTTTTATCGCTTCGATACTAACAACGAGATCTTCGATTCTCGTTTAGATCACTAAGGCTAAATATCGCTCTAACGTAAATTTCACTTTTTACGTCATTCAGCGTTGCCGGTTCTGTCGCGAAACTTCGACATGTCATAACTTCTTCGTTATAACTCGGATTTCGGCATTCTTTATATCTTCGGAAACCTTGTTTCAACTACTACAACATTATCTAAAGATATCAAGTTTATTTTACACTTAAATTTTGATGCTTATTTTTATTCTTAATTAATCAAACCACATAATTAAGCAATTAAGCACAAAACACATAATACTCAAATAATACACTTCTATTATTTCAAAACGGGTTACAAAGGTTAACCTAAACTATTATATCATCATTAATGACAGACCCAGAAACACAGGCGTTACATCTATCACCACTGGATGTCGGCGACATCGTCTCTGGTCTCCCCCCCCTCTATCACCACTAAACGTCGCCTCAGATCTTCACTATCACTAAAACATTGCTGCAGATCTACAAGTAATCGTCACTTCCAAGCCTCCATCGGTTAGGGTTTTTCCACAACCACCGTCCACCACCTGTATGCTTTTTTCTCCACCTGCAAAAAAAACTCATTGTCACCGGATCTGGTAGGTTACCATCGGATTTTTTGGCTTACCACCGGATATATTGGGTGAAGAATATGAAGCCAACTTCAAAAACCACCACTTGGAGAATAAATATGTGAACAGGTGGTGATGGCGGCTTCATCTCCATCTCTCTTGCTCTATATCGCATCAACTGAGAAGATGGTTATGGTTTAAGGACAAGTGGGAAGAAGAACGGGGGAAGAAGGGTCATCGATAGTGTTTTTGACAGAAAAGAGGTGGTGGTCGACAGTGGTGTGTGGTGGTCCGACGATGTTGCGTGGTGGTCTGACAGTAGAAGATAAACTGATGAAGGGTTAAAGGGTGTGGGTGGGGTTAGGGTAGATGATAAATGTTTGTGGTGGTGGGTTTATTTTTTGTTTTTCTTTACTTTGTGATTTTTGTTTTAAATTGTTAATAATAAACAAATCATATATAAGAAAAGAAACAGAAATGGTAAAATATTCATTTTATGTTGGTCAAGGATGGTCCGAGTGAGAAAAAAACATTATAGAGACGACCCAAGTTAATTTTTAAAAATAAGTAGTAAACACGCAATTTGACACTTTGACGAGGGACGAATAGTGTAATTTACTTTAAATCGATTTACATATTTTTTGAAATTTAACCGATTATAATTTTAAGTATGTGTTTTTGAGGGACACATACCGATACTCTTTAAACAATATAATATGCAAGACAAAATTAAAAATCAAATGAATAGAACCTGAGAAAGAGCGATTGAACTCCAAAAAGACAGAAAGAGGCAAAGGGCATTACGACAAAGACGAGATACTGTTTTGCTCCAATCGATTTTCATGTATATGTATTTGTGTGAGTTACTTTTGTGTGTGTTACGATGGCGATAGATTCGACATTAGGCATGATTGATTCCATCTCCCGTCTCCTCGTCTTTTGTGATGCTTATAAAGCTTTGCGATTTTTTTTCCCAAATTGTTCTTCATAGTTACATGTAGCCTTACGAGTTGGATTTGAGCAAGTTGACAAGTTTTGTTGATCGAATTTGGGCCCACATGGTATGTACATCGCTTACGTATAATAACGTGTTAAATTCATGACTAACACATTTTCAAGACACGAATAAAAGAATTGTCAAGTCTAATTGTATCACAAATAGACCCACGTCACATTGATGCCCAACGCTTGCCGACGCTCACAATATCAAACATATAACTTGGATGGACACTAAATACTTTAAGAGAATTATGAGACACAGAGACATTAAAGTAATCGGAGAAATGAGAAATGGATTAAAAGCTTTTGACATTAAAATCTACAAGTTTGATCAGTTTCGTCACGATTTTTTATTCGCTAATATCCATTCAAAGAATAATAAGAGAGTGCATATTCTAATGTGATATAGACCTCATTACTTTCAATCATCACTTTATTCGATGGTTGCTTATCTTTATTATTTGTAACAACATTGGCATAAAAAACCCTAACATTATCATCAACACCTTCCTCCCTCGTAAGTGTAAGTCTTTCCCTTATCCACCCGATTGCGACTGATTATAGTTATAAACTATTTCAATTTTCTTTACTATAATTAATTACAAACAATGTATAAATGATCTTTTTTGTGATAAAAGATGATTACAACTTTTAAGATTTTAAGGAATGATTTTTAGGTTTCAAATTTGAAACAAATATAATTATCTTTTGAAATTACAAGTATCGTGAGTAAACTTACATTTTTTCACCAAATAAAATTTACAAAAAAATAAAAAATAAAAAACCTTCAAATTGTATTTTTGTATTTTTGCGGTAGACAAAAGTGCACTTATCAAAGAAATAAAATAACAACAAGAGATTATTATTATTATTATTTTTTGTAGTGTACTCCTGGGTTGGATAAAGCTTGCTACGTACACATACCTATTTGACCAAATTGCCCTCGACGATAACATCCGGTTTATTAACTCCCAGTCTTTTCCTCTGAAAAACCCACTCACGATGAACACGCTTAAAATCAGTTTCGCCGTCCTGAAGAAGCCAACTTCATATTTCTTCGGTGGCAATTCCGTCATTTCACTAAAATCACTTACCCCTCCTTCTTCCGTAAAACCGGCGTCGATCTCCGGTGGCCCCCGTGTCTACTCTACCTTCGCCGGCACCGGCGTCCGTACCGACTTCAAAGTGAACTCCTACTCTAACATGGCGGAACCTGATTCCGATCATAAGCAAGGAGATGTCGCCGTCAAAGACGATCGCATTGCTCACATTTCATCCACAATTCGCGTCATCCCGGACTTCCCTAAACCTGGTACACACACTAACAGTTTCAAATTTTCAATTGATGTGTAGATATCTGATTTGACCAATGGATATTGAGGTTTATGCATGTGTAGGGATCATGTTTCAGGATATCACGACGATGCTGCTTGATCCAGTGGCCTTTAAGGATTCGATTGATCTGTTCGTCGAGAGATACAAAGACAAAGACATATCCGTTGTAGCTGGTAAATTCCCCTTTTCACTTAATTTGAAGTACTTTTTGAAGATTCACTGTAGATCACTATGCCTTTGTGCTGATGTTATTCAGTTGAGCTAATTTTATATGTTGATGCTTTCCGTATTTGCATAAAGTTGAAATCAATGAATTAGTAGGCAGTAGATTCATGCTGATGATTATAAAAACCTGTTAATTCATAAAAACAATCGATTGATTTTGACCTGATCTTCAGCTTGTAGTTGATAATAGAGTAACTATATTGGTTGTTTGCTACCCTGAACTCATTGTAGAAATTAACCATCAAAGCACCCGATTTTATTGTATGCATAGATTAAGAAATCTGGAGATGTACACTAATTCATCACCTCATTTTAACTTCTCCATAATCAACTACTGATAAACGAATATTATTGGATGATTTTGGTGTTATAAATTATAATGCATAGGTGTTGAAGCAAGAGGATTCATATTTGGTCCTCCTATTGCATTAGCCATTGGTGCTAAATTCGTTCCAATGAGAAAACCCAACAAGTTACCCGGTACTGACATCTGTCTCAGTTTCAGTATAATAATACCCAACACTGTATAACATGTTATATCATGTCATGTCAGGAGCTGTTATATCGGAAGAATACTCGTTAGAGTATGGTACTGACATAATGGAGATGCATGTTGGAGCAGTAGAAGTTGGTGAACGAACTCTTGTGATAGATGATTTAATTGCAACAGGAGGAACCTTAGTGGCTGCCATTAACCTACTTGGTAAGTAATTTGACCATTAAATTTTATTTATTTATTTTTGTTTATTTTTAGTTTTTACCACTCTTTTAGATTTGTACAAATTTTGTTGTGTTGCAGAACGTGTTGGTGCGAATGTAGTCGAGTGTGCTTGTGTCATTGAATTGCCTGATCTGAAGGTACACTGTGTGTTGTGTTGTCTGGATAAATGATGTTTAAACAGTATTTGATCGTGAATTAATTTTGAAAATTTCAGGGTCGGGATCGATTAGGAGACAAGCCGCTATTCGTGCTCGTAAGCTCAACTTGATTTTCCATTATTTATTGAATGATATGATTGGAATTGAAGGGTTGAGAGAAAATCACTCTATGATTTGGAGTATTGTAGTTAACAATAAGTGGGATTTTAATGTAATGGCTGATTTCATTATTTCCTTCTGAGTCTTTAAACGTTGATGAGTTTGTTTACTGTTGAGATAATTTTTTGCTCGTCTCCATCTTTTTCATAATGTTCAGCAAATTTAAATTAAAAACAATTAAATTTAATCAACAGCCTAAGAAATAAAAAAAAATATATTGTTTATAATAAAACCAAAACTCAAATATCACGAACATAATATCAGTCATCTCCATTTAAGGATCCTGGGTTATAAGTTAGATGACGAAATGGAAATATGACAGCGACAGTTTGTTAGGAACTTGGCCCGAAGAGAGCTTTTCTGCAATGTAAAACGGACCTCCAAACTCCAATGGATCAAAAATTATGCATGTTTTAAGTTGGGCTTGTTTTAGCTTTGTTTATCTATTTCTCATTTGTCGAAAGGTTAGTGACAGATCTTCTATATGATATGCTCGTAGTTCTCAAGATACACAATTTCCTTTTGCTGGTAGTTCTAGCAGAGATACAAGAAAGTGAAAGTCTTGGAGAAAGATATAATTTAAGCTGATCCACCATTTAGGCGTTATCCTTGATCTTCCTTGAAAAAAATTTAGTGATCATACTTTCATTGACCCAATTTAATATATGCCTCCAAAAAAATAGGCTCCATAAGAAGGTTGTTTGTAGTCTTGTATTAAGCATTCGATTGGGCAATATAACCTTTTGATTTTTACTCTAAACAAAAAGTTCTTAATTCAAAAGTTATTTCAAGTAGTTTTTTTGGAACTTTTAACTTTGATTTTTATGTAATATTACAATTTTAAAAGCTAAAACCTACTTTTGCCCAACATTTATGTACAAATAAAACTAGAGCTTCTCTTTTTCAGATAATAATTTCCAACTTTCTACTAATAACTAACAGAACGTAGTTTCCAACTTTCATCTAATTTTGGTAAACACGTCTTCAACAAACAAGTCCACAAACTGAACATGTTTTAAATATTTATTTAACTTATACTATCAAGATAAAAAAAGAGATGTTTGACCTTTTGTGTCATTGGCCAAAAACTATTATGACTTTATGAAATAGGAGTGGACTTCTAAATTTTTGCTACATTGATCTTTCAGTTCTATAGGAGGTTGACTTTTTAAGTTCTTTATGCATTTGAAAACTATGATAATTGTTGTATGTTAGTCAAAACTCATGTTTAACATTATATATATATATATATATATATATATATATATATATATATATATATATATATATATATATATATATATAGGGAGTGGTTTAAATGAGAACCAAAAAATGTTAAGAACCATAAAAACCTCTAAATTTAGATGTTTATAAAGGGTTTATAAAAGGTTTAGGACTAAACCCTAAACCCTTTATAAACACCCTAAATCCTAAACCCTTTATAAACATCTAAATTTAGAGGTTCTTATGGTTCTTAACATTTTTTGGTTTTCATTTGAATCTTTACCTATATATATATATATATATATATATATATATATATATATATATATATATATATATATATATATATATATATATATATATATACACACACACACACAAGAAGAAAGAGGGTAACAACCAATGAGATGAATGTGGTTTCATAACAAAAATATGGTTCACAAGTTGAGCAAAATTATATACACATCATCCGATTTTCAAAGTTCTCAAGGAACTTAATAAAAACAAATCTGTCTTTGTACTTATATGATGGATCACTTTTTATGCAATTTATTTGGAGTATTTGTTGATAGTATTGGTCTAGACAGTGGCGGATCCAAAATAAAAAGTTAGGGGTTGCACCACTAGAAAAAAATTAGTTTCCAAAGAAAGTTTTTGTCACCAAATGGTCACTAAATCGGCAAATTTACATTAAATTCACAATTATCAAACATTGTGATGGATATGGACTGATTTTCAAAACAAATCACTAAATTCACATTTCACGGGAAAGTTTGAAGGGTAGCACGGGCTACATAGTAGCTCTACTCCTGGATCTAAATGGTAGCCGATCAACATTTAAGTTGAATATTTTGTTTGGTTAATGATAACATTTGTTTTATATATTAAACACATTGTTGATTGAGTTGAAATTCATATATATAATAAGTTTGCTTACTTTTCAAAAGTAACTTGGTTATATCTGAGCAAATTATAGGAACCAAAACCTATAAATTTGTATGTTTGACATCCGTATATGTTTTAATGTTATTCTTTTCATAACTTTCTTTTATTTATATATTGGTTTTAAGTTGCATTTGCGATATAGGCCTCTAGCTTTATTATATTTTTTGCTTTTAGCTAGCTTTTATGTGTCCTTCACATACACATTGTTGTTGCATTTAGGCATTCTCGCCCAACAGGATTGATGTCACAATAATATTTGAAGTTGAAACCTGTGGAGCCATTTATAAAGAATAACCGATAATTCCATTTGTTTTGTGACTGATTCGTGCTTTCCCTTTGAAGTTACGAGGTTGACCCTTCATTTATTTTTAAAACATATTCGACACTGATTTTTTATTGCATTGACATTAAAAATGTTTTGTTGGACTTGTACACTATTAACAAAGAATAAATAGTGTTTGATCTTTTCTCTTAAAAGCCAAAAATTGCAAGTCAAACCCTATTATATGTTGACTTTTACCTCGTTTTCGATTGGTTATTCCTTATTTTTATAAGGGTTGACAACTGACAACAAATAATCATTTTTTAGGAACAAAAATGATTTAGTATCGGGGATCACGCTTATAGTTTTTTTCTTTTTACAAGAAGACTGAAAGCATTTTGGATCTTTTATGTATATTTGGATTGACATATATGAATATAATTTCAAAACATGCTAGCGTTTGTGATTCCGACTTGAAAATGTTATGTCTCTTGTTCCATGTCCATTTCTTATGGAGCTAAAAGTTCTCAAATCATCCCATAGGATTTGCCTTTCGTTTTAGCATTTAAACCTATCAATAAACTTACCACGGTATAAGGAGTTGTTGTACAGATGTCAAGATTTATGAATAGAATAGTGGGTGGATGCAGTGGCAACATATAGAAATATAAGGGGGTGCACATTTTTTTTAGGGGATGCATAATTTTTTAAAGGTTACACTACTAAAAAAACTTATTTTTATGGTAGTTTCCGTCATAAAATCCATCACTAAAAGGGGTTCACAAACATGTTTACACCTATTAAGACTTTATGATGGGTTTACAACAGATTTATGATGCAATTGTGACAGATTTGTACGAAATTATAATTATGCATTTGACGATAAAATTTGAAGGGTTGCCCGGACACCAAGTAGGTACACCCCTAAGGGCGTGTATTAGCCGTTCTAAACCTATCAATAAACCGTGTCATCGTTAGATAACCTATCAAATTACTAGTAACAACTTAAACATAATTGGTCCGATATCTTATCTATCAACATTTTATAACATTTTAACATAAAGGTAGAGTATTGCAAGGGAGGGGGTGTATTTCCTAAAGTTTATAATAAATCCTTTAGGGGATGCATAATTTTTTAAAGGTTACACTACTAAAAAAACTTATTTTTATGGTAGTTTTCGTCATAAAATCCATCACTAAAAGGGGTTCACAAACATGTTTACACCTATTAAGACTTTATGATGGGTTTACAACAGATTTATGATGCAATTGTGACAGATTTGTACGAAATTATAATTATGCATTTGACGATAAAATTTGAAGGGTTGCCCGGACATCAAGTAGGTACACCCCTAAGGGCGTGTATTAGCCGTTCTAAACCTATCAATAAACCGTGTCATCGTTAGATAACCTATCAAAGTACTAATAACAACTTAAACATAATTGGTCCGATATCTTATCTATCAACATTTTATAACATTTTAACATAAAGGTAGAGTATTGCAAGGGAGGGGGTGTATTTCCTAAAGTTTATAATAAATCCTTATTTAATAAACTTTGCATTCTAATTTTCTAAGAGCATTTGTAGTAAGACCGGAGGATGTGGGAGGAAAGTTTCCCTCACTTTTTGTGGGTCATACCCTCATTTCCATCGTTTCTCTTTCCCTCACCTAAAACCCAAGGAATAGGTAAGAAGTTTTTCCCTCATTTTTTTTTTATTAAATAAGATTTTTTTTTTTATGATTTATAATTTTTAAATTAATACTAAACATAAAATTTAATTAAAAATAAAAAACATTTCATTAATTAAAATAAAATTTACATTAAATATAGCCTCCTCTACAGCCGTTGAATCGGATGATGAAGATAATAACATTTTGAATAATATTTTTTGGAGATAAATATAGGTTATATGTTAAAAAATGGTAGAATATTGTAGTATTTATAAGTTAAGAAAAAGGAAAGAAAAAAGAAATATATATATATATATATATATATATATATATATATATATATATATATATATACACACACACACTAGCTCTCTACCCTCGCAAAGCGGCGGACGACGAATAATTTGATCTCTTTAGAGTTAAAACCATTTTGCGTTCACTTCGAGAAATGAATATTAAATGATATCTACTTTTCAAGAGCATTACCATACCATATTAAAGGGGGTGTTTGGCTAAGCTTTTTTTAAAACAACTTATTAGGTTCCACATCACTATAAGTTAAAAAAGTGTTTGGATTAAAATAACTTATTCCGGTGGGGAACCTCTAATACGTCATTTTTTCATAAGTTACCCTACACTTACTTATTAACTTATAAGCTAATAAACTAATAAGCAATAAGCTTTTTTTGCCAAACACCCCCTAATTGGTTATTACTTCCATTTATACATACCCAAACCACTTGTACTGTTTATCGTCCTTTTTTTTTTTCCGTTTTCCTTAATTCCTTTATTAATTTAATGTCCTACTAAGTAAAATGCTAAAATATATAAATAATAGTTTATAAAAATAAACCTTTAGAATATCAGGTGTTGTGATTTAAAAGTCGATAAATAGGCCTTTGAGAAGGCCAAAATACTCAGGTGTCAACTTGTTCATTGTGATTTTAAACCAAGTTTGGTCACAAATTAAAACATTTTCAACGATGGTATGTAATTCAAGGATTCATATTGATTTAGGTTCTCGAAACCTTAAAATATTAAACAAAATCTATATAAAACCTTATAATAAGGACAATAATCACCGTAATCAGGAAGTCCATTTGATGAAACTTGATATTATAAGGACCAATGATGAAAACGGTTTCATTTTTAGACTAAACAAGATGAAAAATATACAAACTACCTTAATCATGTCAAATGTTGTGTTTAACCGTTCTTTATTGCAAAAGTAAGATGCCAAAATATACAAACTAATGATAATACAATGTTCTAACTGGCCCTCTTGGTTGAGTTCTTTGAACCTGCAAAGCCAACACATTAAAAAAACATAGTAAAAACCTTTTTAGGAACAACCTGATATAATAAAGCCTTCACCCAATATATTTATAAGATAAAAATACAAAAAGTTAAAAATGATGAAATCAATTA